GCCCCCCCCCCCGCATGTTGTTGGACGGTGGGAGGAAGCCAGAGTGGCTGGAGAGAACCCACGCAGGCACAGGGAGAACTTGGAAACCCCACTTCTTGCTGTGAGGCGACAGTGCCAACCACTGTTCCCCGTTTGCATCTCAGACAATAATGTAACAATTCAAAAACTCAGAGCTACATTCGTTTATAAATAAATGCCAGTTACAGTGTCACTCTTTACTCTTACTACATTCAGTTTTCTTCTCTTAAATTTCTCTTTCTCTTTAGCGCCTTCCTGTTTTCTCTCACTGTCTCTCACCAGGCAACAAAACTGTTCATTTCTCTGTTAGTGTGTGGTGGATGGTTAACTTCTGAAATGCAATATCAGTTTGGGTTTTTTCTGGTTTATATTCAGTTTAAAGAGGAACAAACGTATAAAATTTTCACAATTTGAAACCTCCTACCTGGAAGGCAGTGGCATGAGTAGCTGCTTTCAGAGCTCTGGTGGCAGGTGCCTCCATTTAGGCACGGGGAAGGTGAGCAAGGGATGTATGAGCTTTCACAATGTCGACCGGTAAACCCCAAGGCACAGACACACCTGTAGCAATGATAAGTCAGTTTCACTTCAGTCAATTCAGTACTGACAGTGAAACAATTCTATAAATTATTGTTATTTTCTAGTTGTCAGTCAGTTTAAATTGCCAGGATTTTCCCAGTTGGGCTATTATAAAGTAGATTCTCACTTGTAGGAGCCAGGGGTGTTGATGCATTGTCCTTCATTCTGGCATATAAAGGGCGTGGCAGCACATTCATTTGTGTCATTAAGGCAGCGAGGACCTGTGTATCCAGGAGGACAAGAACACGTGTACCTCTCTATCTGTCCATTTCCAGACAGAGAGGTACACTTTCCACCGTTGCCACAGGGACTTGATAGACAGCTGTCTTCATGCTCACAACGTGGCCCTAAGAATGAAGAGGAAGGAGAGGACAAATAGTTTTGTTCAGAAAGCTTATCTTCACAATTAAATGCCACTTTTATGAGTTTTGAAGCTTAAACACAATCACCAAAGATAAAAAGCTATTGTTAGGCTATAAACAAACTACACCACGGTCCCAAAACTCCAAGATCACCACCGCTAAGCATCTAACTTGCATTAATATGCTTACCTCTCCTACAAAATTCTTTCATCTTAGCATGACCTGATCTAGATAGTGATCATGGCTGTGCAAGTTAGAATGGTTTGCAAGTGTGCGAGTATAAATACAACAAGGCTGTAAAGAGGAATTAGTGAGTCTGAGTGTTTGGCATGATGACATTTAACCTGCAGTCTCATTTAGCAACTTGTTACCAGCCAACTTTTTTAAAGACACATAAAAGCATTAAAAATTGTGAGTGGGGTATTTACTGACATATTTTATGTTACAGATTAAAATCTTTTGACCTTGTATTAACCACAGACCTTATTCCAGGCATCTAACCAAAAACCCAGTCAAAAAGCTCACTGGCTTTGGGGCGAGGGAACTGGAATTGCAAAAATGTGCTAAAGGGACTTGGTCCTATGGCACTCTATTTCCTTTCAGGATGTTTTAAGTGTTCTGGTAATAGGCAAAAGTCAAGACATTACTTCTCTCGCTGCAAATTACTGAGAGAAAAACAGTCTTACCTGTCCATCCTCTCTGACACTCGCACCTGTACTTGTCGAGGGACAACAGGATGCAGTCACCTTGGTTGGCACAGGGGTTGTTGGGGTAACATGCAGAGTTCTGGGGCGTTTGGCAGTGCTGTCCAGTGAAGCCAAGAGGACAGGTGCAGGTGGCGCTGTCTGGTACAGGTACACCAGCTGACATGGACACTGAGCAGTTCCCCCCATTCAGGCAGAAGCCAGGTTGACAAGGGTCTTTGTGGTGGCAGTACTCACCCAGGAAGCCTGTTGCACACCTGGACACACACAAACACAACTCAGTGATGGAACATGTAAAAGAATACACAATGATTTAAAGCTATTGACCCATCAATGCAGATAAAGATGTTAAAAGATGAGCTGAACAAATGAACAAACATGTATGTGCTTCATATAGAGTGAAACAAACAAAACAAAGGAGCGAGTCAGGTGCATGTGAGGCACCACATCAGACAAGTGCCAATGAGAGCTCTGATAGAATTACATTTGCTCAAGCGCCCTGTAATACACACACACACACACACACGCGCACACACACATCAAAGGCACAGAGAAGCCAACACAGGTAAACAGTGTCTAATACTCACTCTTGCCACCGCAGTCTAGTGATCTAATCAACAGTATGTGAGGAACCACATCCCTAAGTAGCATTAGCAAAATGTGTGGTTGTGTATAAATAAAACAAGTTGTTCATTTACTCCAAATATGACAAATGGTTAATGGGCTGCTCTGGTTTAGTGTCTTTACCCATTCAGACAGAGGAAGCTGGGGTTTCTGTGACTTGCTTAAGGACATTTTGTTAAGATGGGGCAGGAACCACTAACCCTACAGTTACTGAAGAACCCGCACTGAACCCTGTGTTGTTGTCACATAAAGCCAGCTAAGAAAAAAGGGGTAGTTGAGCTCAGTGGAAGGGCTAAACTGGGGTCAGTGATGACAAAGACGAAGTTCAAAAGCAGAAGGATGTGTGATGGAATCATATGGAAGTTGTTGACTGAAGCCTGGCAGAAACTAAAAACAAGTGGAAAAAAAAAAACAGCAAATGTTTGGGCAAAGTAACAGATACCATATTCCTCTTAACAGATAAGTGACGCCATAATCCATGCAAATGCTGCCACAGTAGAGATGGGGAAAATATCTTCATAACTGCAAGCTGTTCATATAAAAACTGTATGGTGTGCGACTTTAAGAGAAGTAACCTTTATCTATCATGTTGTGACCACATTCCCTGTATAAATCATGTGTGTCTAGTTTGTCTTCTTATTCATACATTTCTTTCGATTTCTTTTTTTTTTACTTGGGTAAATGAGTCAGCTGTGTGCTGAGCAGCAGGGAGGAAATGACAATATTACACAACATGTCTACTTGGATCACATCAGAGACAATGTTCCCTTCGTTGCTTTCTATTCCTGTTTTATCTCAGTCCCTCCCACTTTCACTCAGCACTTCTCCATGTGCGACAAAATTTGGTCAAAGGTGTTATTTAGTTACTGAGCAAGAATGTTATTAGGCAGGTAATTTCCTGTGGATTCTATTTTGGTCAGCACTCTGTTGCTTGTGTGGGTGTGTGTATGGCACATGGCAGACATGCTGTCTGGGGACTGCCGGTGACAGAGCAGCCAGTCACCTCTTACACAAGCCTCTAAACCTGCCTCCCTAGAGGGGCTCAGGTAACATAATAGGAAAGCAGAGATACAGCACACAGTAACACACACACACACACACACACACACACACACACACATATTCATAAAACTTCCAAAAGAAATATTAACGCTTATGTGACAAATAAGCAAACCTTCGCATGTATAACATAAAGGGAAGAGAGTACTCAGTAATCAGACCCTGTGTTTGGGAGTCATATGAAATAAAGTATTTAAATTTGAGTCTCATGTTTACTTGCTTGGATTTATTACTGCCCACTCCACCCCAAAGCAGCTTGAAGATATTAGGCTGTAAGCGCATGGGAAAGTAGGAGAGTGATGAATCATGCCAGGCAGAAAAGTCACAGATCAATCACATCTGTGATTGGTAAGATCTGGTAAGATATATGAGTCACCCAATGTTAGATAAAAAATGACTAACAGCAAATTCCCACTATTGGTTCACAAATATATAGTATATCAAATACACTGACATGAGCACAAATGCACAAGAAACATCTAACAAAAAAAAAACAAAACAAACCACATGTATGTCCATGATTTTTATAGTAACACTTTGTTTAAACGAGGTATGACAAGGCCCTGCGATGGACCAGCAACCTGTCCAGGGTGTACCCCGCCTTTTGCCCGATGCCCCTCTGCAACCCCGTTCTGGACTAAGCGGTATAGAAAATGAGGTGAGAGAGA